ATCATATGTCAACTATTATCATTTGACATTGAATTTCACTAGAAACTATTTTCGACATAAGAAAATTGGTATTAAAGGAACACAATATCGAGATATCAGATTACCAAAGAATGCATTGAGACAAGTTTTCAATGTGTTTATCACATATCTATGATTATTATTTAATTGAGACACTCACTACACTCGATCTTGAATACAATAGGATTGTTATTGAAGAAAACAACATCTAGTTACCATATTAGAATTAAACACAGCAAAAAACAGAAATTCTTTATTAATCAATGACATCTCGAATATTTTTATTTGTCAAAGATTGAGAAAATATGTCTTAAATGAACATAAATTTTATCTAAACTTAAGAATTTAAATATAAATATTTTCTAATGAGAAGCATTGCGTCAGATATAAGTTTTTCTTTTAGAAATTCTTTATTGTCAATAAATTGAAATATTTTGAAGATTTGTGAAACATCAAAAATGATTGATCACGAACAAATACTTAGTGATAATCCAAGCATAGCTGTATTTGCTTATTATTTCTGGATTAAATTTTAATTCAAATATAGGATAACATAAACACTTACAAATAACGAAAAATATCGAAAGAATATACTCGTGTAGTATTTTTTAAAAATTTAAATAATAACAACTAGTGTGAATAAACAGTCATATAGACTTTTGCATAAAAAAAAAACCAGTCATATAGACTTTTCCTGCTGTTGCGTACATAACAGGTTAGTATGTAATTAAAGATTCAGTATTTGAAACGGATAAAAATATTTCTTTTTGTTAATCTAATAATAATTTTTATTTTCTTATTGGAAATCATTTTCTCTATTTGAATTATTTGTAACGATTACGGCAATGGAAAAAAATTGAAAATCAATCTTGTTGAATAATTTTTATACTTATTGTTTATAATATAATAATATTTACATAGAACAAGGAATTAGATATGGTGATACATCGTATACAGCATAATAATCTGCACATAATAAAAAAAGTTCAAGCGATTTCCATGCTCTCATTGCAATGCTCAAGAGTAAAAGTGAATGATTTAAAGTAATTGAACTTGTACAAATAATAGTTAAACAAAAATTTTCTTTTTTATAGAAATTAAAGTGTAATAAAAAAATCCGAATGTTGACAATGATAAGATATCCATCTATTTCAGTCTCGAAATAGTGTCATTTGAAATAATATAAGCACGAGATAAACTTATTATTTTTTTTAATTACATCTACAGATTATTTTATTTGGAAATATGATCACTTTTCATTCGGATAATGGAACACAATCACAGCAATTATACAACAAGAAGACGAAAATATCTGATGTTTAACATCCAAGATCGCATTACAAATATATCAAAAGACTTTTCTACATTTTATAATATCTAAAGTTATTTCAATTTATTATATCAGAGAAGCATAACCAGTATAAAATATAAATTCATATTTGACTCATATGTAGAATTCAAAGCGTACTTTAAAATCCTGAAAGCATCTGTGCCATTAGGCTTATTTTCTCGAATTACGGACATTTTACTGAGCTTTTAGCTTATTACAGGATATCACGAGAAATCTAACAAGAAGTAGTTTCGACCTGAAATTCTCCACAACAATATAGCTCTTGTATTTTTTATGGAATTTGAAAGTTTCCGCTGAAAAATGATTTCTTAAGATATCGTATGCCTAAACACTGCTATTTTTCAAGCTCTTGTATAACACTAACATTTTTTGCAAATATCTTATCTCAGAAGAGAAGTATCCATTTCAGTTGAAACTTTCAGAATACCATAAAAATCATGAGAGTTATTATTGAGGAAAATTTCAGTGCCAAAACTTCTTATTGCGACTTTGTTCGTGATTTCCCGCAATAGACTGAAAATTCCCTAAAATGATCATAAATCTAGAAGAAAAGCGTAATGGCACGAATCCTTGCAGGATTTTTATCTACACTATGAACAAACTATGAGTTGCATATCCAAGAAATTGATTATTTAGAGATAACGAAATAAATATTAAACAAAAACAAAGATTTTCAAATGCACTTGAAATTAGATTCTTAATAATTTTTATAATTAATCAAGATTAATCTCAAACAATAATATTGAAAAAATATAAATTCGATAAGTTTAATTTTCTCACGTCCTATTTTGGCAAACAGTATGTAATTACTTAGATATTGAAATGACAGATTATCAAGACGCGAGACAACAGCAATAATTTTTAAAATATGAGAAAAGTTTATGGTTTTGATATACTGATTGTTTCAATGTGTTAAAAACACGTGATGCAATATTGTTTATAAATGAATAAGAAATAGGAAGATCTAATTTTATTCAATGATTGCTTTATAGAAAGAATATCAACTTGTATTTTTTATGATTTTCCTTTGTAAATGTGCAAAATGAAGATCATAATGTCACTCCGACGTATGAAAAAAGTCAATATGAAAATAATAATTAGTATCTCATCTATCTTTCTCATAATATTAGTTTCTGTAAAGATGGTGCATAAATATTTTCCTTATGCTAAAAGCTTTTTATAATTGGTTCAACAGAATTTGTTATACAATCAATCATATATGAGGGAAAATACTGATAGATAGAATATGAGAATTTCTCAACGAATTTTTACACTCATAATTATCATAACGGCATCATCTGAACATGCCAACAATTAGATTTAAAAGACATTAATTGTAACACTAGATCTGCATGTTAATATTTTTACTCTCTGTTTCCTTCTTTTTGTGTGTTCCTAGGATCTGACTAATTGTGCATAATTTTAATGTAGCTACCAAATAATATCAGCACGTACTACATTATATCCATTGTCATATTTTGTTGAATGAAATGAGCAATTTTCTATAGCCAAATCAAAAAAAAAAATATATATATATGTCGTGCCGAAGTTAGTGTGAATGATAAAATAAATATCAACTTTCAAGAAATCAACAATATCTTTCATGTTGTATCTTAAAAATTATTTTTTTCCATCAAAACAATAATACAAAATTTATTTTTCAATATTATGAC